CAGGTACCACAAATTACCAATAAATAAACGTAACACAATTTAATGTAAAATAGTGACTAATGTTATTAAATTAACTATGAATAAGCAATTTTTACGAAGATGGCTTGTCTTCAGGGTTGTAGAGTCATGTAGTCTGGTGGTTAACGGATGATTCAGAGGTCAGTGTTGCTTCCATCATCAGGGCAGTAAATTTCTACCTGATTGGTTGGTCCATATTTACACATTCTTGATATGGATCTTACACATCTTCGTAACGTTATTTTGCCGAATGAACCTTCCGTATAGACGTATTTACGTCAAAAAAACTCATTACTTACGAATATAAGCAGTGAACGGAGACGAACATAACATGATAATTTCTGATAAGGGGTTTCGTATCACAAGCGTCACAAGTGTTAAGCAGTTAATCTGTCTTCGTATTGAGGCACGCAAGTGTTATTCAAGATGGAAGGCCAACGTCAACTTCCAACCCGTTTCTTACATAAAGTGCTAGAAGAAATTGTAGAAGAAGCAGGGCTAGCAAACACACGAATAGAAATTGAATCGGGGTCTAGCAGGGGTGACAACTATCTGAGTGTTATTTACAGAGTAAAAGTGAGCGGTCAAAGAGCTAACGCAGGTTGTGAACTGAAGCAGGATGGGGTAAACTTCATATTCAAATGCCTGCCCGAATCGAAAGTACGCCGGGAAGAAATGAAAACAAGCAATTATTTCAACAATGAAGCGAATTTCTACAACAAGGTGCTTCCAGAGTTTCTCTCACTTCAACGTGAACGGGGAGTACCTGTTCAGGACACGTTCTGCTGCACTGCCAAATGCTACCGAGCGCTGAACACCGACACAAGTACTGCTTAATTCATAATTTGTTGTACAAATTTTAGATTACGATAAAATATGGCATTAACCATCTGATCTCCATAATACACAGTTTCCTTCGCACCAAGTACTGAATGTTTAAGTATAATTTTGATGAGTGTTGGTTTCAAAGGGATAACTTATTGTATTTTATGAATTTCTCATACTCTCATTTCCATAAAACTGAAAGATGCTGAAGTTGAAGATGTTTAGAACTGCAATAATATTTTTTTTTAAAATTTCAGCAAAAGATATAAAAGGTGCAGAGGAAGTATTAGTACTGGAAGATATGCAACAGCAAGGGTATATGATGTTGGACCGGTACACCGGTTTAGATGTAACACACTGCCAACTGGTGTTGGATCAGCTTGCAAAGCTGCACGCCTTCTCCTTTGCCATGCGTGACCAGAAACCAGAGCAATTCAACGGTTTAAAGGACAGCGTATCTGAAACGCTGTACGAGGAGACACGACTAAAAGGTTAATTGTAATTAAAAAGTACAAATATTATCCAGCAGATTTTATATAGCGTACTAATAAACTTAAAATTTGCCTGCTAGCATGTATATTATGTAATTATATTTTTCACATACATCCATAGATAAAAACTCAGAATTAACAGCACTTACCTCTGGTTTGACGAAACTACAGCGACCAAGGCGTATGGCGAAATGGGCGCTACCAAAAGACTCATTCTTTACTCTCGTCATTTTAATTGTGCGTGTTAACCAATATAAAGTCGATTTTCAAAATTCATATGTTAGTGGAAAATTTGATTCCTTGAGATGAACATGAGGCTGGAGAAGGCTATTTTATAATTCATACTCCTCGCCACATCACGGAGGCTCAGATGGGCAGGGAACATAGCATGCATAGGGAAATGGAGACTTCTTTGAGGACATGGGCTTAGAAGGAAAGATAAGATAAAACTGATCTTCAGGAAACAGATTTATAAGCCGTAGACTCAAAATAGGGACCAGTTGATAGGCTTCTGAAGTTGATGATGAACTTTAGGATCCATAAAAGTGGAAAATTTCTCCACTAGCTTACTGACTGTCAGCTTCTGAGTGACTCTTCTCCATAGTGTAATGTAAGATAACTGAGTAAAATCATGACAGATCTGGAAGATCGTGGAACGAAGGAAATGCAGTCTGTCTATTTTATGCTATTGTCCCAGAACATCACCGAAGGGACTGAGGAAACGCACATAAAAAGCATCCTGACGATCTGTCTCGGGCCTCGGATCCGAAGCGCGACGTCCGAGAACAAACAATAATGCCGACGACCACAAAACCGTAGTACTAATAAGATAAGGATTTTGCTGGGTGGAAGAAAGATTGTAAATTTCGTAAAATTTTATTATGCAAACAGGTTTACAGGAGTACGTAGCAAGCTTGGAGCCTCTTATAGACGAAGCACTGATGACCAGAGTGCCTGGTGTCAGCAAATATAAACAGCGTGCGAGTGACTTCATTCACAACTACTACAATACCATGCTAAAGTGCGTGGACGGAGCAGAAGCAGAACCGTACGCAGTCATCTGTCACGGCGACTGCTGGAACAACAACTACCTCTTCAAATACGGCAAGGTGCGACAAGCTCTTCACCACAAAAACATTAAACGAGACTAATAATTATATTATTAAAAACAAGTAGCTCGTCACTCAAGTCTTTTATCTCACATGAAGAATGCCCTAAAAGACGGACTTCACTGACAGAAGTTTGTAATTTCTTGCATCATCTCCCCCCAAAAAAATCATTCTAGGCACAACAGTCTCCTCCAACCACGGAAGTTTAGTAAATACCATTCAGGCACGACGGGATTCCTCGGATGGGGGAAGTCATTATCCGTACATAATCCTAGTGTCGAGAAGACTTGGAACGTTACAAGTGGCATCTTCCGTAAGGATCAGAAGGAGATTTGCAGCTAATCGTGATGATGACGACAGACCCACAAAGATACGAGAGCGTAAAATAAACTGTTCTTGTTTCAGGATGATTCTAAACCTACGGGTGTGATTCTTCTCGATTTTCAACTGTCGCGATATTCGTCGCCAGTGCTCGATCTGTCTTACTTCATTGCTTCTTGCACTGACCACGCACTGAGATGCGAACACTACGACCTCCTCTTAGCCAGATACTACGACAGTTTGGCACGCTTCATACGTCTGCTTGGCTCTGATCCACAGAAGCTCTTTCCGCAGGATGTGTTCCAGGTAAAGTTAGATACTAATTTTGGCAAGACTTCAAGGTCTTTTTCTTTAATGAACGAGTTTACAATGACTGAAAAAAATGTCCCATGTACTGGTAATAGAAGTACTACGGTTTTATATAAAATGAATGTAAACTGCAATATGAAAATAAAAAAAAGAAATAAGGAAATGTAAATATTCCGCTGGTTATATTAAATATAATAATGTCTAGATAATATTAATATTAATAAATATACAATTACGAGTCCGTAGTTCAAGCCACTTTGGAGAGGCACAGATAATTACACTTGAGTGGAGCGGAGAGTATGAAGATTTCTGTCTTCTGGGTTGTTGCGCTGTGTAGTCTGGTCGATGTTAACCAACGTTGAATCGCCCTGATGATGGAGGCAGTATGACCTCTGAAACGTTGGTAAACATCGACCAGACTACGCAGGGCAACAACCCAGAAGACAGAAATCTTCAAGATACAAGCTCTTAAAAAAAAAAAGTTTGTTGATCATCATTCCAGACCTCATCAGCAAATTACAGATATCAGGCAAACAAAAGTCATAACTGCAATGGTAACTGTATTTTCAGTCTCCTCAACAATTAGGGATCAAAAGTGTTCATTTACAGTAACATGTAAAAATTATGCGATATGAAAACATATTGTTACGACTTCATTACGCTAAACAAGCTGCTTACAAATGGGAGACTAATTACACTCAGGTATGTGTAGTACATAGACAGTTTAAAAAGTGCCCAGTGTTCCGACATGACAGTACTCCAGCGTGACAGCCAGGTCTTGCACAGCTTCACACGTTCCCCATAAACACTCTGGATGACACACCGAGACATAACAAAAAATGATGTTTTCCTAAAACAAAGAAGAGTACTGAATGGTTCAAACTATCAGATAATTTAAACCATGTACATGGGAAGAAAGAGATTTAAAGTGGAATAAAAGTAAGTGATAAGAAAGACAGAATTAGGAAATATGAAGTTAACTGAAAAATGAAGTATGTAATAATGAACTTCATAATGTGTACTGATTGCCTAAAATTGTTCGCGTAAATAAATCAAGAAGGATATGACATTTGGGATGCATAACATATATGAGGAAATAAGAAATACATAAAATGTTTTGGTCAGAAAACCAAACAGTAAGAAACCACTTTGGAGACCAAGGTATGCATAACAGAACAATATTAAATGGACCCTAGAGGAACTTGATGTGAGAGTATGGGGACTGGATTGAGATAGCTCAAGAAACATCAAATTTTGGGATTTTGTGATACAGTAACGAATGTTCGGGTTCTGCTTGAAAAGAAGCAGGAAATTTCTTTACCAGTTGAATAACTATCAACAAGTCAAGGTCTTGTACCACTGAGGAGTGAGTTTCATCTAATTCTGTGAAGTTATAGTTCCCTGAGCAGATACAATTATGTGAATAATCTAAAATGTATTTCATTTCTAATAACAAAAACCATGAAGCAAAGTTCATCTTAAGAATCTAACAGTCACTCAGCAGGTCAAGATATTCCATGCCTTTTATAGAACCTGAAGGTTCTTCACTATGTTTACAACAGCTTGCCACAAGTCCCTAACCCGAGCCACAGGAAACCAGTTCACACCATCACATTTTTCTTAAAAATTTATTTTACCTCCCATTTACACCCAGGTCTCCCAAGTGGTCTCACCCCGTCAGGTTTTCTGACAAAAATTCTGAATGCATTTCTCACCTCTCACATGTGCTATGTGCTTCACCCACATCATCCCCCTAGATCTGATTACCCTCATATTTGCCAAAGAATGCAAATTATTAAGATCCTCGTTACGTATAGTCCGCAACTGTAATCTTGAGACTTGTGGGGTGGGGAAGTGTGGTGAAGGAGGAAAGGTAGTGTCTGCCTTTAAGGCTTCAGACTTCCTGCATTCCTTGTAAGTCTCAAGATTACAGTCCTGTACTGTATTTTTCTCCATTCTTCCCTTACTTTCTCTAGCTGATGCCCAAATAATCTCTTTAGCATTCATTTGTAATTCAGAGTCATAATATAGTCCCAGTTGTAGATACACCCAGTTCACTACAAAGCACATTTTTTTCATTGCCGTGCCCTTCCGAGCCGAGACCTTGGCCCTCAGTCCAGCCTAACTTTTGGAGCATTTGAAAGCCAATGTTATCTTCTTTCAACTTGAATTCCTTGTAGTCCGACAGGTCAGGCTCACGCCCTTCCTTCAGGGCATTGTACTGAGAAAAACAGAAAATGTCTTTATAAATTTTGAATTCAAATTACAGTATCTCAAGAAACAGAATGCTAGTTCCTTTTCTAATACACCTGGAAAAAAAACAACAACATAATTTAAATTAAATGTAATTTTCCAGTGGGAGGAAACGGACGATCGATTTACCTACCC